AACGTGAGTATTTTGTCTGTTAAAAATTACAATAACCAGTGTATTACCTTAAATAAAAATCTTAAATAAAAATATTATCTAAAATAAAAAAAAAAAATTGCTAGTTGTTTGCCAATGTCTCAATAGCTAGCTAGCTGAATTTCCCATTTTACCTTAAATAGTGTTAGAACTGCTGCTCCATTTAAGGTGGAATGGGAAAATTCCAACAAGAAGCTGGAGAATAGCTGACTTCAGCTTCATATCACTGAAGAATTGGGTGGATGATGTCCCAAATGTAACTAAAGCCCAGCAGTGAGGTTGCTGAACTTTACCCTCCTCTGCTGTCACTGCAAACTGGCGGGGTCTCCTACAGAGTGCCAGTAGTAGCCTATTAATGAAGTTTGTTTGTTTTTGTTTTTCTTTATTTTGTTTATTTATTTATTTTTTTTAATCTGAGTGTTGTTCCATTTCATAGGGAAGATTTTATCCAAGTTATAACAATGAACAGACAGCCCTTTAAAGTACAAGGTTCCACCTGTTTGCCCACAGTTTGGTTCCTCACTCTCATAACTTCACTCTTCAAAATAAAGGTGTCACATTGGGTTCTTTGAGCGATGCTTTAGACAAACCACTTTTGGTGCCTTATAATTGGTAGAGAACCTTTAAGCCATCTGGAATTTCTTTAATCTTTATTATTTTTTATTTTTTTTCACTTGCATATATCATAGACATATGGATCATAAAATGGTTCTTAATAGAATTATCCACTCTTGAAAACAAAATATGTTACAAAGGGTTCTTTAAGCAATGCCATAGAAGAACCAATTACCTTATTGAAGAACCATGTTGATGATGTCTAAGTGGGAAGAACTTTAGCGCTAAAATGGTTTAACTTTTGTCACAAATCAACACTCACAACTGTACCAGATCTACAGTAGATGTCCAAAAGTGTGTAGACACCTTCTCATCCAATATTTCTTCTGAAATGTGTTAGTAGTGAGTTTGTGCTGCAGTACCAGCCTCGACTCTTCTGGGAAGGCTTTACACTAGATGTTGGAACATTGCTGTGAGGCTTTGACAGAGCATTAGTGAGGTCAGGTAGTGATGTTGGATGGTCAGTTCTGAATCACTCCAACACATCCCAAAGGTATTGTATGGAGCTCCATCACTCCAGAGAACATACTTCCACTGATCCACAGCCCAATGCTGGGGGTTTTATACCCCTCTAGCCCACACTTGGCATTTGACGTGGTGACCATAGGCTCATGTGTGGCTGCTCCAGAGTGTCCCATTCTATTGTTTAGTGCTTTTATATGGAAATTGTATGAGCAGTGCACAGTGGAACACCTGTGTCAGTAATGGGTGCCCTAAATAGAATGGCTGTACTGTTGGACATACAGTGCATATTTAACCAATATCATTCAAAATATAACCAGTTTCATTCAAAATAAAGAGCCTCTCTGCCTTCCTGTGATTCAGACGAACCAGAAGTCCAGGACGGCTCACCAAACAGATAAGATTAGCACAGAGAGCCGTGCTGATTCCAATGTTCCTGCCCTTCCACTGTGCTCTGTTATTGCACCCTTGAAAATGTCACTAATCCCCATGTTTGAAGAGATAGTGGGACATGAAAGGGATCCCTCTTGGTTTCTATGCAATGAGCGGATTCAGAGCGCGTATCTGTCTCATATCAAAAAGGGACAAGCCAAAGAACGGCCAAAATAACTCTGTACTTATCATTGTACTTCCAAATGCGTCAGCATGAGTCAGTTTTGTCCTTTTTGTCTACAACGGACTCTCTCTGCAGCTGATAGTGTTCATTTTTATACATAAATTTTGTGTCATTGCGAAATGAATGTCACGTTTTCTTGTCAAATCTTTTTTCATGACATCCTATCTTTTCATTAGAGTGAAAGTATTTGCAATATCCGCTTACAAGGAGCAGCTCTAGCTGTAAACGTTGAGTGTTTGCTATTTGTAAGAAATGTCTTGCACAGCAAGACAAGCCTCCACTTATATGTGCATTTATCTATTATGGCAAAAAAACAAGATTCAAAAGCAGTTTTGTCATTATCCATGATAATGTAATCTCTCTCTCTCTCTCTCTATCTATCTCTCTCCAGCGCTCTCCGTAAGGGAAGAATTCCTCACGCTATTGAGGTATGTTCATATTATACAGAGAGCAGGAGATAATCTGATTCTCATATTCAAATCAGTATTTGTCCATAAATCTTGAAATATTCATGAAAACTTGAGTCTATTCAAATGCCTCGGGCAGCCTGGTGGGAATTAAAGCATAAAGCGGAGTGTGCGCGCCAGTGGCTCGCCGGGAACTTGATTTAGAAAATCTCTTTTTTGGAGGAGATTCATGTTTACACTCCACTGGCACATTAAGATTCGTTCTGGCAGAGCGCCGTTTTGATCCACTCTTCCAAAAGTACGTTTCTTAAGGGGAGACTCGGCTCAGCCATCAGTGACAGAGGTGTAGTAGCGTGGCGGCGCGCTAGGGGGCGCCACGCTGCTCGTACCCTCACCACACAGCGTAGGCGTTTGGCCCCGGAGGACCAGCTCACCTGGTGCAGATGATTGCTGGTTACTGGCTGAGTGTACATGGCTCCAGTCTAGAGAAACTTACTGAGTCAGAATTGTTCACAGTAGTGGTGATAGGAACCAGACGTCCACCTCTAAAAGCTCCATCACAGAAAGATATTGCATGAAATTGTTCTGGATATGCTGCCTGGTGTCTGAGACATTTTTATGATGTTTGACATTAGTTTTCTGCCCACAAAGTATGTTTAAAATGGATTCATGATGGAGAGAAACATGTGGGGGTGATGAATAGCAAAACCAACATTCCATATAAAACTCAGAAGACACATGTAGGTTCACTGGTAGTTTTGGATAGTAAATAAAATGGTTATATTTGTGTTGTAGTCATGGTGACCCCTGGTTCCTATTACCACCACTGTATAGAAATCTGAACCATTTCACACCAAACCACTCTGAATGACTCTGTTTACATCTCACACACTGAATTATGCAGAAATTTTGAAAAGTCAGTGTAAACCCCATTTGAGGCACTAAAACAGAACATTGCTGTAACGGTTCAGTGGCTCTTATAGTGTTTAGTAAGCTTCGTGTGAAGGACATTTAATGAAACCCACAGTGGTGGTGATGGACAAATACACAGTTTTTAAAATATTAACGTGCACTTTAAATAAAAAGATGACCAAGAAAAGATGTGCAGGATGCAAACATGAACTTTAAAAAAGCCACAACAGGAAATGTTTTTGAAAATCAGACAGCTCTGAAATAAAGGGCCAATTAAAATAAGCAAAATAACAATAAAACATACTAAAAATAGATAAATGAAGGCAGAACATGGAAAATAAATAAATAAATAAATAAATATGCATTATTGAAATATTTTAAAAACTGAAAATAAAAATGACTAAATAAATAAATAATGCATTACTGAATTATGTAATAAGCAAAAATGAAAAAAGTAACAATAAATAAATAAATACATAAATAAATACATAAATAAATAAGTAAAACTAGGGAAAATGCTAATAAATAAAAGTATCAATGTTAAATAAATAAACGTTATTGAATTATTTTAAGAACTGAAAATTTTAATAGTAACAATAAATAAATACATAAGCAAATACAAAAATAAATAATGCATTATTAAACTGTTTTATACATGAATGAAAAAGTTACAGTAAATAAATAAATATCTTGGGCAAATCTTGGTAAAATGCAACTAAATAAAATAAGTATAAATGCTCAATAAATAAATAAATAAATAAATAAATAAATACATTCCAAGCTCACTAAGGTCGAATGTAACAGTTAACAGATCACACAGGTCCACTGGATGGAAATCATTTCGTTTCTTTACGGCTCGTTTCCTTCTGATTAGTATGTCACTGTGTGGTGTTTGAGTGCAGCAGTGTTTATTTACCGGAGTTTAACCCCAAACCCAGCGGGGTCAGGGGGGTCCAGCAGCTCCAGGCAGGTCAGCACTGTGACCACCGCAAACAAAGCCAACTGCAGACTGAGGTTGCGTGTGGCGGCTAGGGGGCGCACTCAGCTCACACATGGGAGAGACGGAGAGAAACACACACACACACACACACACACACACACACACACACACACGCACAGTGAGAGCCTGAATGTGTTTGTGGATAAAACAAGCAGAAAACACACACAGTGTGTAAGTGCAGGCTGTCTTCTCCAGACCTCTACGGCAGTGAAGGAAGGAAATGAAGGGAACGAGGATGAAAAGAAAGAGGGAAAGTGTTGCTGTGGTTCATTTACTCTTCTCCGCTGGAAAGAGAGTGAAATGGGGACAGAGCAGTGAGGGGGAAGAGTGGAGAGACCCCACAGGCTCACCAACTAGCCCACATCTGACCACCTTCACTTAATCTCTTCGTTTAAGGGGAGCTTTTTATTCAGCACAGAGAATAAGAATATGGGCTCAATAAAATACAATAAATCGAAGATTATTATTATTATTATTATTATTATTATTATTATTATTTATTATTATAAGACGATTTAGTACACAGTTTACACTTCTAAAACGAATTAGAAGAAAAATAGCTAAGAAAAATACCGGTACAACCTGCAAACCTCTCTCTCTCTCTCTCTCTCTCTCTCTCTCTCTCTCTCTCTCCCTAATTATCTCTCACCCATTCTCTCTCTCTCTTACTGTCCCCTACATCTCTCATTCTCTTTCTCTTTCTCTCTCTCTCTCTCTCTCTCTCTCTCTCTCTCTCATTTTCTTGATTGGCTTCCTGTGTGTCCCGTACCTCTTAGCCCTACTCTGATTGGCTGTCGGTGGGCGGGGCTCTGCTGCTAAGCCGAGCCTGATTGCTGGCGCCGTATAGGGGGCGGGGCTACGTGTTTTCTCACGCTCTTATTGGCTGCGGATGAGAGGAGCGCTGCGGGAAAACTGCGCAGCTCGAGTCATCAGTGCCAGAGTAGAGGAACGGAGCGGAGAGAGACGGAGAGAGAGAAAAAGAGAGAGAAAGACAGAGGGATTACCGGGAAAGAGAGAGAGAAAAAAAGAGAGAGAGAGAGAGAGAGAGAGAGAGAGAGAGAGAGAAGCGTTTTGCTTGGAAAAGGAGAGATGCGCGCTCTGATGCCTAAAAACATCTTGGCGCGTGCATGAGTGTGAGTGCGTGTGTGAGAGAGTGAGGGGTGTGTGTGTGAGAGAGAGAGAGAGAGAGAGAGAGTGAGGCGTGTGTGTGAGAGAGAGTGAGGTGCGTGTGCGTGTGCGCGCGCGTGTGAGCGCTCTCTCTCTCTGTGAGGCAGCATGGTGTTTGTCTCGCGCCCTCTCTGAAGGAAAACACGCACTCCCTCTCTCTCTCTCACGCGCACGCACTCATCCTCGTTACCGTGGAGGAGGAGGAGGCAGCAGAAGAGGATGACTGTTCCCTCGCGCTCTTTACTTGGATAACACACAGACAGACTGACTCGCGCGCCTTTCTGCTGCTGCTGCCGCTCCGAAGTGCTTCGACGAAGATGTTCGTGCCCGCGCTCTCCTTCGTGCTTTTGGCGCTGGTGCGCGGCGCGTCCTCGCAGCTCCGTTACTCGGTGGCCGAGGAGTCCGAACTGGGCACTTTCGTGGGTAACATCGCGGAGGATCTGGGGCTGGACGCCACGAAACTCTCCGCGCGGCGCTTCCAGACGGTGCCGAGCTCGCGTACGCCGTACCTGGACGTGAACCTGGAGACCGGCGCGCTGTACGTGAGCGAAAAGATCGACCGGGAGCGCGTGTGCGGCGGGAGCCCTCCGCCGTGCCTGCTGCACCTGGAAGTTTTCCTGGAGGACCCTCTGGAGCTGTTCCGCGTGGAGACGGAGGTGCTGGACATCAATGACAACCCGCCCACTTTCCCGGAGCCGGACGTGACCGTGGAGATCTCGGAGAGCGCGAGCGCGGGCACGCGCTTCCCTCTCGAGGCCGCCATGGACCCAGACGTGGGCAGCAACGGGCTGCGCGCGTACGAGATGACGCCGAACGCGCACTTCCACCTGGACGTGCAGACGCAGGGCGACGGCAGCCGCTACGCGGAGCTCGTGCTCGACGCGCCGCTGGACCGCGAGCGGCAGGCCGTGCACCGGTACGTGCTGACGGCGGTGGACGGCGGGCAGCCCGCGCGCACGGGCACAGCGCTTTTGGTGGTGCGCGTGCTCGACTCTAACGACAACGCGCCCGTGTTCGACCAGCCCGTGTACGCGGTGACCCTGCGCGAGAACGCGCCGGTGGGCACGCTCGTCATCCAGCTGAACGCCACGGACTCGGACGAGGGCGCGAACGGAGAGGTGGTGTACGCGCTCGGCGGAGGGAGCCACGCGGCCGCCAGCCGTGCGCGCGAGCTCTTCGACGTGGACGCGCGCACGGGGCGCGTGGAGGTGCGCGGCGACGTGGACTACGAGGAGAGCGCGCTACATCAGATTTACGTGCAGGCGCGCGACCTGGGGCCAAACGCCGTGCCGGCGCACTGCAAGGTGCTCGTGCACGTCACCGACGTAAACGACAACGCGCCAGAGATCACCTTCAGCACCGTGAGCGAGTCGGTGAGCGAGAGCGCGCAGCCGGGCACTGTGATCGCGCTGCTTAGCGTGTCAGACAGAGACGCGGACGAGAACGGGCGCACGCGCGCCGAGATAGTCGGCGAGGAAGCCCCCTTCAAGCTCAAGCCCTCCTTCCGCAACTACTACACGGTGGTGACGGACGGCCCGCTGGATCGCGAGACCGCGGACGCCTACACCGTCACGGTGGTGGCGCGCGACGGGGGCACGCCTCCACTGGCTACCAGCAAGTCCATCCGCGTGCGCGTGGCCGACGAGAACGACAACGCACCCCAGTTCACGCAGCCCTCCTATGATGTACACGTGGCCGAGAACAACGTGCCGGGCGCGTACATCTACGCCGTGACCGCGCTCGACGCGGACGAAGGCAGCAACGCGCGCGTCACCTACTCCATCGCCGAGCGCGACATCCAAGGCATGTCCGTGGTGACGTACGTCTCCGTGAACGCGGAGAATGGCTACCTGTACGCGCTGCGCTCCTTCGACTATGAGCAGCTGCGGGAGTTCAGCTTCACTGTGCGCGCACGCGACGCCGGCACGCCTGAGCTGGCTTCCAACGCCACCGTGCGCGTGCTCGTGGTGGACCAGAACGACAACGCGCCCGCCGTGATCGCGCCCGTGGGCAAGAATGGCACCGCGCGGGAGCCTTTACCGCGCACGGCCGAGCCGGGCTACCTGGTGACGCGCGTCGTGGCCGCGGACGCGGATGACGGCGAAAACGCGCGCCTCTCCTACAGCATTGTGCGCGGAAACGAGGACGGACTTTTCCGTATGGACTGGCGCACAGGAGAGCTGCGCACGGCCAGGCGCGTGAACGCGGGAGCCGGCGCGCGTTCACAGCACCAGCACCAACAGCAGCAACAGGTGTACGAGCTTCTCGTGGAGGTGCGCGATCACGGCCAGCCGCCCTTATCGTGCAGCACGTTGCTGCAGGTGGCTCTGGTGGACAGTCTCGCGGATGGCGGAGGAGGCGGAGGAGGAGGTGGCGGAGGAGGAGGGGGCGGGAGCACGCGCGGCGGCAGCGGGAGCGCGCGAGGCGCCTCCAAAGCCAAGGATGCTTCTCTGGACTTAACACTGATCCTCATCGTGGCCTTGGGCTCCGTGTCCTTCATCTTCCTGCTGGCCATGATCGCGCTGGCCGTGCGCTGCCGCAAGGACAAGAAACTCAACGTGCACGCGGCTCTGCACTGCTGCTGTGCGTGCGCGTGGTGCTGCGGCGGCGCGTGCGCGGGCACCGGGAACGGAGGCGCGGGCGCCGGAGGCGGCTGCTGCGGGCGCCACTCGCGCTCCAGCAAAAAGAAGAAGAAGAAGAAGCTCAGCAAGTCGGACATCATGCTGGTGCAGAGCGGCGGAGGAGGCGGGAGCGGGAGCGCGCACAACGTGAGCGTGAGCGCGCCCTGCGGCGTCGGGAGCGCGCAGGTGCCCGTGGAGGAGTCCGGCAGCTTCGGCTCACTGCACCGCAAGCAGAACTACTGCTACCAGGTGTGCCTGAGCCCGGAGGCTGCGAGCACTGACCTCATGTTCCTCAAGGCCTGCAGCCCGGCCCGCGGGGGCGCACACGGAGACCCGGGAGCGCGCGCGGCGCTGGTGTCCGCGTATGGAGAGCAGCAACAGCAGCAGCAGCAGCCAGACATCATATCCAATGGAGGGCTGCTCTCCAGCGAGGTGAGCATTAATCAGCGCTGATTAATGAAGGTTATTCTATTATCTGACTCACTGCTGGTCTAATAAAGTCAGTAAAGTGGCTTCCAATCACACTCCAAAGTGCCACCACCCCCTCATTCACAGTGTTACACGTCAGTGGAGCTGCGTAATTGACGTTACAGTAAACACTAACAACGTCATTATAATATGTAAAGGTGCATTAAATGGCACACAGTAAAGTCCAAATCAAAAAAAAGTTATGAGAACACAAGAAGCCTTTACAACGTGAAAAATGTTTTTGCAGTGTTTTTACAGTGTGATATATGTATATATATATATATATATATATATATATATATATATATATATATATATATATATATTCATAGTCATATTTTGAGTAGTTATTGTTATGCTGCAGTATAATCCCCAGTGTGCAACTGAGCATATTGTAAGGAAACTAGTGCTATACATAAGTATCAATATTGGATGTACATTCTTTCCTCTTCATCTACTTCTTCTTCATATTATTATTATTATTAAATGTGAATATGGCCCTTTCATATTGCTGAGATGCTAGTGAAGCGACTCTGTTGCTGATTGACCTGCACTGAGAGCTGTTGAGTGAAATATGGAGCAGTTTATGTAACTGAGCCATTTTATGGCTGTTTGTCAGTTGAATTAAGTGCTCCTGAGGGATTCATCTGAATTATTATGAAATTAGTGGCTATAATGGAGGCACATAAAGCCTTATGGTGCAGCTTCTAAGCTCAAACAGAGAGCTGCTGGTTCTTTATACTCCACTCGTCCCCAAAAGTGGCTTCGGTGCGGAGCTGCCCGCGGTATGGGTGTGTGAAGGCCTCCTCTTGGATAGGTGCTGCATGCTGAGTGCCGAGAGCGTTTGCGTTATCTATGCGGGTCACGGTGCTGCGGAGGCGCACGGGAACAAAGAGCCGTGTGTAGTGGAGCACTGCTTTAAAGGGTTCTAACCCACAGCACAAAGCCTGCTGCTCAGGGGACACATACATAAAACCGTCACAGGCCTCTTTACCGTCATTATTAGTATTACTAGTAAACCTTTCTAGACTTTCTTTGTTCTCCTAACTTTGGAAGAATACACTCAGAATTCCTAGTGTAGTTCAACTGTGATTCAAGGTTTCAAACAACTCAACAAGGTCACAAGTTTACTGACTTTGTTAGCCATTTAAACTCCAGGCTTATGATTTGTTTATTAGCTTTAGGACAGATTAGTCAGTTACCACTGTGAATGATTCAGTAACTGTGAATGTTGATATAGTTGAGGAACCAATGTGTGGGTTTACATACTGGCATCTCAGAATATGTAATTGTAGCTGTTCATATAACTTAATTAAAAAAAAAGTCAGCAGTCAATTTGATTGTTGGTATTTGTGTAAAAAATGAATGTATATTATAAGATGCATTGTCTTTCTTCCAGACGAAGCACCAGCGGGCGGAGCTCAGTTACCTTGTGGACAGGCCGAGGCGTGTAAACAGGTAAGCGCGTCACTTTCACACCTGCCGACCCAGTCATGTGACCTGTTGGCATTTATTTATTTATTTATTTTAGTTAGTTATTCAATTTTTGGCAGCATTTGAAAATGCCTGTTGCCCTTTACATTGTGTGGAAATTTCACAATGAATGGACCAAAAGAAACGGCTGAAAATGACATCTGGTTCCATTGACATACATTAAAAGTGAAGTGTTTTTTCCTTGTCATGTAAAGTTACCATTTTTGAGATACGAGGTTCTCTTCCAACAGCAGTGATAGATGTACATGTATTGCCAAAACAAAAACTTATATCTCCGAAATGGTAATTTTGGGAGAAGTTAAACAGGTTAATCACTTTTAATGGAAGTCAATATTACAAGATTTTATCCCAAGTGATTTTGGACCATTTCTATTGTTTTTTCATCACTAAATAGTCATACAAGGTAAAACAGCTGGTATTTATTCACAAAGGTTTCTTTGATGCCATAGAAGACCCTCTTCTGGTCCATAAAGGTCCTTTCAAATGATGTTTTTTTTTTTAAAGATAGTCCATCATTCATTGTATTCTAAACTTTGAAGACGATTCACGTGAAAATGTTCTACATCAGTTGAAGGTTTTGTGCTGAATGTCCAAGGAGTCTTATTTGCTTTTAAAATGGACTTTGTCCTCTTAGCATTGAATGCTGCTCATTTTATGTGGACATGTATTCGCTTCACTTTCAGTGAGTGTGTAAGTAGCAAGCATGTGAGGTGGCATGAAGTAGCCATTTCATCCTTGAGCAGTGATAATAAGGTGGTTATATAAGAGTCATGCAGCACAGCAGTGAAACCCCCTCCCTCTCTTTTTCCCTCTCTCGCTTTTTCCTTCCAGCTCGGCCTTCCAGGAGGCGGACATAGTGAGCTCAAAAGACAGTGGGCATGGGGACAGCGAGCAGGGGGACAGTGACCATGACGCCACGCATCGTGGACACTCCTCCGGTCAGTTTCCTCCCTCTTGCTCTCTATTTGATCATTCTGCTCTGTGTTGTGGTCACCAGAAGCCCTGATGCTCTTGTTTTTGATGTGAGGTGGTGCCTCCTTAACGGTTTAGTTCACAGTTTCTCTCCTGGATTCATTTGCATCAAAGTGTTTAGTGTTTTCCTGCTTGAACATACCAAAATAAGCCTTCAGTCCATGTATTTATACACATGTAACTAAATTATAAAGGGTTCTTTAGAGCACAAACAACTTTTGGTTTCAATATTGAACCATAGGGTGGTCTTTTAAAGAACATCCATTTTTCTAATTTAGTGTTTAAAGAACTTTCATTTGATGCTAATATGCCAACTGTTTATTCCCTAGAACCACACATCTAGTCCCAGAAACTTTAAATTTAAGAGTGTGGTTGAAGTTATTAGTGATCTAAGACTAATTGGTCTACAAACTGCTGTGATGGTGTAAAACTGGATGTGTCATTGATAGAATTGAGGAGGGATGAAGTAACCAGATAGCAACCAGAGTTAACCTTTAGAAGTGTAGTGTTATTACTGTAGTTTGTCACTACTATTGTAATGTGACTATGTAATAACATGAGTAATTACATAGTAAGTAACATTGCATTACACTTTGATTTACATTAACACCTTTTTCTGCTTAGTTTCGTGCCAAAATACAACAGAAACATGGCAGAAATGTATACAGAATGTATATGCTTGTTTCAGGGAGCTACGAGTGTGAAGTAATTAATATTAATTTCCACTATACTTATTTCCAGCAATAGAACTTTCAGGTTCTATCTTGCCTTCTAAGGGTTAACTTTGGACTTTGAGCAAACAGTTGCTTTACTAACACAATAAACCAGAAAGCCAAGAATCTGAGTTGTTGATTCAGATGTTTTTAGAGCAGAAAGAGCCCGAAACTGTGCAGGGCGGAGGAGCTAGAACAGCAGGATTGCGACACACTGGCACATTGTAAAGCTCCATGTTGAAGAGTGGTGCTGAAAGGACAGTGAATGAGCCGTTGGTGTTGTGCTGTAGTCGGCTGAGAGTGTTTATCGCCACCATGCAGGCTTCAGACGCCGAGCAAATACATATTCTTCTTAAATATACTCTCTCCCTCTCTCTAATCTCTCCCTCTCGCTCTGTCTCTCTCCCTGCCTCTTTCTCTCTCACATACACAAGCAGTAAACCCCCAAAATCAGGCCTTGTCATGTCTCCTCAACATTCCTCGCTAAGCTAATGCACAGTGTGATGCTATCAGCCATCCCGCAGGCTCCTGGCCTTGTTTAGATACGTGGGAAACTCTTCTCCGGAACAATAGGCCCAGTGCTGAGAGTAATCCTGTTGTTTGTAAATACTTAGAGCTGTAATGAGGTTCTGCTCTAGTGTGACCTTCACTCGTCTGACCAGCCACTCCAGGGATGCGGGGGAATTTAGATCAGGAATTTAGGGCTGGCAGCCTGTCGTTCGCTTGGTGAGAACCTGACCAAATAGGTTGAGCCACGGACAAATGAGTGATTCATGGACGGCAAGCAACTAGTCACATCCTCCTGTCTCCTCTGTGCATCCATAACCGAGTGTTGTGGGGCTGATGATACCTTATGCATTGGTTCATCATATGGAACACATACTTAGAAAAACAGTTCTTAACCAAATATAGATAATTTAATTTAGTATGGGATATTTTTCACTTTGATTTCTTCAAATGTTGAAGTTTTGTGTGTAAATTTGCAGACAGTCTTTTTACAGAAAGAAGAGTCAGTATTGATCCACTCAGCGTTGATGGCTTCAAACAGCTGAAAAACATTGCTGAGCTAGTTTGTGTTTAAATGTGAGCCCAGATATTCTCCATAGCTTTAAATTTGGCCTCTGACCAGCCAAAACCAGCAGTAAAAACCATTATATTTTGGGTGTGTGTAAAAAATCAAATTGCTGGCCAAAGAAAACCGTGTTTCTCCATTTTTTGTTGTTTTCAGGTTTTGACATCATTCAAAAATGCCTGGTGCTTTTTACATTGTGTGTAAATTTCATGACGAATGGACGAAAAAAAATGACAAAAAATGACTTGTAAAAAAATTCTGGTTCCATTGACTTACATGAAAAGAAAAGTGGGCTTTTTCCTTCTCCTGTAAAGTTACCATTTTGGAGATACAAGGTTTTCTTCTGACAACAGCGATATACATTTGTCACAATATATATTAGTCGCACTTCTTTGAAAATCTTAATGCACAATTTCTATTTATTTGCTGAATTTAAAAAATTGGAAAAAGAAAACATACAACATAAAATGTGCTGTAACTCTTGCACGAGCCACATTTTATGTTTTTTTTTTTTAATCCATCATGTTAAATTCAGCAAGTGAACCATAAATGTGCATTAAAATATGCTGAAGTGTGTTCTCTGTGTGTGTGTGAGGATGTGTTCACTTAGGAAACCAACAACACTTTGTATTTGAATTTGACCGGGGTGCACAAACTTTTGCATATGAGCATATATACATACAGAACTAGATTTTTGATTTTTTCATTATTGGGTACAGCCCTGAAGTTTAATAAAAATAAGTATAAATAAAACATTGTAATTGCCACATAGCTTCCAGTTAAGTTGTAGTTCTGTATAATAAGCCTTAGACTTTATTACTGAATTATGAACCTGCAGGGGCTTAAATAAAACACTTAATAATACTTAACAGATTAATTGCTAAGATCAGAGAGCAAGTCAGTAGTAGAAATAAAAGCTAACTTAGCTACATTTCATTGTTTTCTGTGCTTTACTTCACCCACTTCAACTTTGGAAGGCCTTGTTAATGAATAATTTGTGTTAGAGCAAAGTGTGTGGGTCAGGGGTTCTCCAAAACCAGGGTCAGGAACTGCTGGGTCTTTAAAGAATCTAGACAGCCCAAAATGTGTTCTTGAGTCTGAGTTGCTGCTATTTTAAATCAGCATGAACATATTTTATGTCATTTCAAACAATCCAACCCCATGGAGACACACTGCCTGTCAAAAATGTGCTCTGATGTTAAATTCTAAAATGTTTCGCTGTTACTTTGTAACCAATGCAGAAAAAATATCTGCAAAGGTGAATTTAAAGCTGCTTCATGCTGATCATTTGGATATAAATAGCTTAAACTTTCAGCTTAATGTTCATCAGTTCATCATCCTTGAACTGAAGAGCAGGTTTTGCCTGCAATATTTTACCAGTTTTCTTTTCTAAACTATTGTCAAAGCACACAATGCACCTCTTTTGGCCTAAAAGTGGTTTCGACAAGCTGAAAGAGGATAAAGTGTGTGGCATTTGGCATTATTACCAAGGTAGAACTGCCACCAATGTTTACATGTGATAATTTACCCGTGAAAATAAACCCACTCAGTCTTTAATGATGGAAAATATGCTTGTTGAAACCTGTGAAAAAGCTAAAACATTTGATGGGCAGTGTGCTCCAAACCTCTACACGCTGCTATTCTGGGTGTGCTTGGTCCCATTTCTCTGTACCCCCTCACCCCCACCTCTCTGCCCCCATTCTACTGTCCCGCCTGCTTCTCTTATCCTCACCTTTCACAGCCTGGCACTCTGTGCCCTCCAAACGCGATTAAAGTCGTGAGAGCTTTCATAGCCTCCCGTCATCCTTGTGTCAGCATTCGGCCTTCTATCATCGCGCTGCAGCAGACAGAAAAGCGGTGTTACCCCGCCTGTCAAAAGTTTGGGGACACATTGACTTCTTTTTACTGCTGGTGTACAAATAAGTAAGAAGAGACGAGAGCTTGAAGCTGCTCTGTGTTAATCCTGTGGATGTATTTATCTTTAACACTCAGCTTCACATGTTTTCTTTGGTATGAAGAGCAGGTTTTGCCTAAATAATGATTTGACAGTGTTTTCCAAAAGGTTGGCCCAAAGACCGACAGCAGAGTGCCGACATCATAAGAAGGTGATAGATAAGTATTTAAGGCGTGTTTTTTGATTACTGTCCCATTTTTTAATGTGAGAAACTAAATAAACCTGCTGTCCTGCTGACAAAGGAAATGTGCTCTTTTTGTATTAAAAATTGATGTGTTCTCAAACTTTTGACGAGCCGTAGAGGTGACCAGGCCTCATCTCATGTAGCCTAATCATGACATAGCTGCACACGAATAAATACAACCAGAGAGATGCATCTGATTACCATTAATTTGTCTTTGGTTGAGCATATGCCCTCTGCTGTTATCCTGGAGCACCATATGCCGTGAATGGAGTGCTCAGATGGACCGCCATGGCGTCTAATTTAGCCTAAAACAGCAGAGCTTAAGCCATAGTGTTTTTTTTTTCTTTTTTTTTTTTCCGAGACATAAGGTCATGTTCGTAGCTGCAAGTCCATCTGGATGTTACGTCGTAAGCTATCTGTTCGCTTTTCCATCTCACGAGCTCTGTGCCGTTACCGAATCTCATTTTTTTTCCCCCTGATCTGCGAGCATGTTTTCTTCGCTAGAATTAATTGTTTTGCTGTGAAGTATCTTGTTTAATTAAGATAATTGAAAGCGCGCCGGCTTGTCGGAAAGGACGTTCAGGGGCTCCTGCATTGTTCATTTTAATGAGAAGTTCTCTGCTTATCCGTTCGGATTTATTTGCCACTACTTGTTTACCACCACCTTGTTTTTCGTTCTTTTTTTCAGGATGTACTTTTCAGGGCCTTTAAAATCCGAACTCTCTTTCCGTTAAATGCTAAAGTTTGTCTCAGGTTTGTAAATCCGCTCTCATTGTTATCGCCACGCCGCATCAGCTGCAGGTCACCGGTGCCAATGCACAACAAGGCTGCCTTAAGTGTGGGATCTACTTAATTTGCGCTTTCTATGCGAAAATGCATCAGGGATAATCAGACAAGGCGGTGTGTAATGCAGGTTTAATGCCACGGAGACGTTTTTCCACCAACGTTTTCTTTGCTGGATGATGTTCGGGCCGCAGATCGCAATGCAGTGCTGATTTTTTTTCCCCTTTCTGACTTTTCTTTTGTCCTGCCAATCCGCCACG